TGTAACTTTCTGGTCACTTTCAGCTCTTAAAAGTCCAGGCCAGTTGAAAATGTTATTTTCACATCCATTTCAGAGCTGCACTGCTTCGCATTCAGGCTCAACCCAAGTTGGAGACCTGCAACGAGGAAGGGGGCACAGCCTCTTCTTCTACTCCTTCTGTACCTCCATCCCGTCCTGCTTGTGGCTCCTTTGGAGTCCGGGCAGCGGGGGGTGGGGGGGGGGGTGTGGGGGGGTGGGGGGGTGGGGGGAGATTAGAGGTAGAGCAGGAAAGGTGTTCTAACTCTGGCATTATCACAGTTCCTTTCAGCTAACACTGGTTGGAGACATGGTTTTTTTAATGGGGCCTATTATGAGTTCCTTGACAAAAGTGTACATTTTCTGGCCAACCTGTTACAACAAACCCCATTCCTCCATTGCAGCCTCAGGTCCTGCTCACTCATGGCCTCCCACAGCCTCTTATTAGTGCAGTCCCCCACCCTCGGCAGGCAGCCTTCTCAGGTGGGTTCATTCATGCTGCTTGAGCCTGGGTACCATCCACAGGACACAAGTGCATCCCCCGGGAGCCAGACAGTGGAGGTGCACACCTCTTCCTCTTCTGTCTTCTCCTTAGCCTGCCATCAGGAGGGGCTCCAGCCAGCTTCCAAATTCAGCAGGCTGCACACTTTTTGTTTATGAACGCTTCCAAGCTCCAGGACACTCCAGTCAGTTTGTCCCAAGAACTCTAACAACAAGCTTCTCTTGGATCCCTTGACAGCACCAGGGCCTGAGCATCCCCACTCAGTAAACATCTAGGTAGACAATGGGAGGCTGGTCTTCCCTTCTCGAAGAGTCTTCTCACAGCAGAGGGGAGGGAACACCACACTCCAGCTGTGTGGGCAACTCCCCTGCTGACTCTCCTCTATGCCTTTTCGAACTTCGGGTTCCAGAGATAGGCAGGCAGTAGGGGCTGACACTCAGCAGGTAGATCTTGGGTGAGTCCAGCAAGGATATTCCTAGCACCCTTCTTTGAAAGATGTAATGTTTATCCCCATCATTTTCAGCTCTAAGACCGTAGCCAAAAATTCCAAGACACTAGAAAAAGTCTAATTCCGTATTCGGGAAGCTTTGATCCTAGATGGGTAGCTACTCTGAATGGCACTTTCCACCTTCAGCAGTGGTTCTAGGCATGACTGGAGTGTGCAGGCCTGGGAAGCTGGGGATGCATGGGCTTTCGGTTACTAAGTGGTTGCCTTTTCTATAGCTCCATGTCCTCAGCCTTCTTTTCCAGAGAGGCATCTTCACTCAGTAAGACACCTTTTGGGCCCTTACTCTTCCCAAATGGGAAATTCTAGGAAGGCAGAAACAGTTTTCAAGGAGCACCTAGGCATCCAGGCTAACAGGATCTTAAGTACTACCCAAGTGATGACACCTTTCTTAGCTTGGAAACAGTGGTTTCCTTCCTGAGAGACATTTCTCATCTTCTTCAACTTAAATACTTTTGAAGCCCAGGTATCCATGGCCCTATGCTAAAAAAAAAAAAAAAAAAATTTAGATACATTAAACGAGAGAAGCAGGATCCCTATTTTCAAGGATATCTGTTGCCTTTGATCGAAATGAAATAAATATGGAACCAGGTGTGTACTTGGATGTGGGTTTCACTTGCACACGAGTAACCAAATCTCTGCTTTTCTCCTGGCTCCCAATGCCAAGAATGACAGGCTTGGGGGTGAAGTTTTTATTGTTGCCATTGTCGTCTTTTTTCACCTTTGGTCATTATTTGTCCATGATAGAACACTTATCAGTCGCTAGAGGGTTTGATTCCCTTAATGCTGCTCCATATTCACCTATTTCTGACTTTGACAATAATTCCAGTGCCAATCACCAGCTTTCTATATTTGTCAGCAGCTGCTTCAGTGATGTGGAAACAATTTTCTCAACAGCTGAAAAACATGAAGATAGAGAGTAGGACATTTCGTTCTTTATAAAAGAGCTTAAGTGGAATGAGCATGGGAGGCGAGAACAATCCAGCATGAGCCTTTCTGTCTCTTCATCTTTTCCACTTTCCCCAGCATGACGTCAGGCTTAAGTGGAGAATATGGCTTTGTCCAGAGAAGAGTGAATGGGTAGCCTCTGTGGAATATACTGGAATACTTTGCATCATGGGCTGGTGTTTTACTTTCTAGGAGGCAGTCTTTGTTGATTTGCTTGATTTATGTCAAGATTTAGGATGAAGGAATGACCATGAAGAATAAATAGTATCCTGTCTATATAGCCTTCACATGGTGCCTAGTTCATCGAAAGCCCTCAACGTAGAATGATCAGAGAAGTCATTATTGCTCTCAAATTGTGTCTCAGCTTCTTTCAAGGGGTTTTCACATTGAGTGTCCAACGCGTACCAAGCACTTCGTAATGCAGAATCTCTCTTCACCTTCACAGCAATCTAGGAAGTAGGTATTATTGTCAGCATTTCATAGATGAAGAAAGATGGTTCGGAGAGAGTTAACTTGCCCAAGTCTTGCTAATCCCAAAGCCTGTGCTCTTATGGTTCCCCCATCTTCCGTCTCCCTAGATCTCACCTCTGGGCAGGGAGAGACCCCGTCTGGCTCTGCCAACCTCCCTGAGCCCAGCTGTCTCCAGTTGTAGAACTGAAAAGCCATTCCTAAAGTTTATTTTCTGCTTTAAAAATTCTATCGCCCAGATCTATTATTTTAAATCTTTACTGCCACCTACTGGGCATGATGTAATCTGAAGAATGAAGAAAAAATTCAGTTCATCTTGGATTAAAACTGTCAATTTATCTCAAGACCATGCTGTGCTCCTAACCTTTAAAATTTGTATTTATAAGCAAATATTATACCCCTTCACTTTTATCTTTATAGTAAACTACCAGATGTGAGATTTCCTTTATAAGATTTTTGGTGAGATGCTGGGATACATATAAACCCAACTTTTAAAAGAATATGTGATGCTTTGTGATCATATAATACACACTCGGCTTATAATGGGCTATACTTTGACAAATTCTAATCTTCAGTATTCATAACTTATATAGCAGATATATTTTTAACTTTGTAAATATTTGCTCAATTTTTTTTACATTCTCATGGTAAAAAAAAAAACTCAACACAGAGGATATGAAAAAAAGTAGAGTCCTGCACAGAAGGAAGTGTATTACGAGCTTATGTTTTTTTTCCAAGAAATGTTCTATTTATATACAAGCATGTCTGCGAACACACGTATACCCTATTCTTTACTATTTTTCTGTGAATGAATTTATGCTGTGTGTAGTGTTCTACAGCTTGCTGTTGTTTTTTTTTTTACTTAATCTATTTTGGACATCTTTCCATGTCAGCATGCAGATTTGCTTTATTTTTAACAGCACATAGTATTCCATTATTGACTATACTGTAATTAATTTAATTAGTCCTTCATTAATGTCCATAGAAGCTATTTTCAGTTTTGTTGTTACAAAAATGCTGCGGGGAATGAGTATATATTTTTCAGGGAATACATGTGTGCACGTGCGCGCACACACACACACACACACTGTTTTGCAAATTTATTTCTAGAATAAAATCTTAGACATGAAATTGCTGGATCTAAAGCTATGTTAATAATGCCCACTGACCAAAGATCAGCAGAAGCACACCTATAGTCAAAAAAAGCCGAGTTCACTTAAACTGCAGCAAGGGAGAAAGCCAGAGGAGTAGTGAGCCATCTCGGGATGGCATTTGGAGGAAGTTTTACAGGGTGTGAGCTTGTGCTGGATAGTTTTAGGGAGGATTCAGGGGAATGGGAGCAGTTCTGGGTTGGGTGTTGTCAGGAAGCAGGAGTCAGTCAGTGACTGCCTGTCTCACTCAGTTTTTCCAGGATGAGAGAGGGTTCACGTTGGGCTAGAAGTGTCATTAGTAAGGACCAGCCGTCGTGGATGTGCTCAGAAGAGGGGGTGTTGAATCATTTTATGTACCGAATGGCCACAGAGTGGCCTTATCTGGACATAGCTTTATCCCATGAGTGTTTTTCGTGATCAGTTGCGGAAATCATGGCCAACCTGCCACCTGCTTTCTTTTACTTTCTCAGGTACATTGATCTTAAATGTTTGTAGATGTTTATGTTTCTTTCCAAAAAGGTTGCACCAACTTACATTCTTCTGGGTTTTTTTAAATACTCAACTTCCCTAACAATGAGGTACTTAATAATCAGAATAATAATGGCAATTATAATAATAACAGATGTTTATGGAGCCACTTCCTATGTGCCAAGCACCGTGCTAAATCTGTGATTTTTATTGAATCCTGGTTCCCATATGAGGAAACCGAGGCTGAGAAAGAGGAGAGGTAGCCTGGGCCACGTGGCTGGCCAATGAAGTGTGGAGCTGGGGCTCAGAACTGGGCCATCTCATTCCAGGGCCCACGCTTTTCACAGGAAGAAACCCTTTCTCCTTTATCTGCTTCACAGGAGGCTGCCAAGGAGAATTTAAAGCTAAGGAATTAGGAGCCATTTAATTGATGATCACAAATCTTCGAAAGTCTGGTTTAGGTTGATAAGGAAGGAGAGTCCTGTTTACAAAAATGAGATTTATGGGCAGCATTCCAGAAATCACATATATAGTGTGATATGTGGCCTCCAGCAGGAGGTGCTTAGCTGCTCACATGTGCCCTCAATTAATAAAGGCCTATGAGCAGGTTCTTAAAATCACAGCCAAGACACTATAATTAAATATTCTCTGGGCCAGCTGGAGCTCAGAGGGTATTTAAATAAACCCCAAGGAAATAAACAGATGAAGAACATCCATCCCCTTGGATCTACCGAGGTTCGTGAAGTTTCCGTGCTGTGTGAGAATGGGGTCTGTGAGACAACCGGGAAAAATTTTGTAAAGGGAAAGAAAACGGAATGAAATGGTGCTTAAGTAAATATTTATTGAGCTTGTGATGGTTTTACTCTGGGGTTCAGAGCCGGCCTGCATGACTGGATTTAGCAAAACAAACATGTAGTAACTGCTGGCTGCTGCTCTTTTCCAGATTGTGCTGGCTGCGGAAGAGATATCAAGAACGGGCAGGCGCTGCTGGCGCTGGAGAAGCAGTGGCACTTGGGGTGCTTTAAATGCAAGTCCTGCGGGAAGGTCCTCACCGGGGAGTACATCAGCAAGTAAGAGGGGCCAGGGCTGCGCGGATCCTTCACGCAGGGATGGGGCCTGTGGCTGCCTGTACTGTAGGCCCTGCTCTGGGGGACCCCTCCCCCTCCCGTCAGATGTAAGGAAAGACATTCACAGCCCGCAATCCATATTAACTTCTACTATAAAACTTTAGTTTTTGTAAACTTTTTGAAAAGAATTTTATTCTTCTGTTGCCGTAGTTTGCCTACTATAAATTTAACAAAATGTTGATCGTCGTCTACTTGAACTATTAATGAAAGTGACATAATGTTATACTGTAGGTTGTAACTAATTAAGCATTTAATAGTTTTACTTCTGCTAATTTTCTTTTTCCTATTTGGAACTAGTGACCCTTTGTCTTCCTTCCAGGTCTTGAACATATTTGTAGACCCCTCCCCAAAAAAACACACAGGGTCTAGGCCCTGAGCCCAATAAGACCAATGCACAAAACAACGGCTAGGGAATGGGTTGGTGTTAGAGTCAGATGCTTGTGGGGATAAAAGTTAGAGTAAGTGAAGTATTTTTTTTTTTAATGTAGCCTGGAGAAACTAGTTACAGTGGTTACCTTTTGAGTTAAGGAGGAAAGAATGAGCACGGGTGGGGGGGCATCTAGTGGCAATGAGGGAAAATTGTCTGTGATACTTTTTTCTTTTTTTTTGGTGAGGAAGATTTGCCCTGAGCTAACATCTATTGCCAATCTTCTTCTTTTTGCTTGAGGAAGATTGTCACTGAGCTAACATCGGTGCCAGTCTTCCTCTATTTTATATGTGATGCTGCCACAGCATGGCTTGATGGGTGGTGCTAGGTCTGCACCCAGGATCTGAACCTGCGAACCCCAGGCTGCCAAAGCAGAGGGCACGAACTTAACCACTAGACCACCAGGCCAGCCCCTGCAATACATTTTTCTATGCTTTAGAAAATGTTCTCAGGACATCCCGGTGGTGTAGCAGTTAAGTTTGCATGCTCCGCTTTGGCAGCCCAGGGTTCACCTCTTCAGATCCCAGGCTCAGACCTACACACTGCCTGTCAAGCCATGCTGTGGTGGCATCCCACACAAAATAGAGGAAGATTGGCACAGATGTTAGCTCAGCAACAATATTCCTCAAAAAAATAAATAAATAAAATAAAAAGTGTCCTCCAACCAGGTGAATACATTGCCTACTCAAAAAAATTAAACAAATTTAATTTAAGAATATAGTGAAACAAAGGAAAAAAGCAGCTTGGGCCCCAGCCCCTAGAAATCCAATTCTGTAGGTCTGGGGTGATGCTGAAACACCTGTGTTAGAAAGGGAGCACTCACAGGTGGTTCTGACGCACAGCCAAAGTAACATGAGAAAAACGCCCAGCTTTTGACTAACACGGAAGGCTGCACAGTGGTCAGTAATGGGCGTCTAGAGTGGTGCTCTGCCACCTGTCCAGCAACAACACACGTAGGAGGTGGTATTTTTCCTGTGCTCTGAGGTAGATGAAGGAAGGGCGGGAGCTGGATGAGAAGGCCCTGGGCCCCTCAGGCCTCCCAAGGGCTGAGGAGACGGTGTCCTGGGCTTGAGGAGGCAGTGGGGGGAAGGTGGTGGTGGGGCCTCCTCAGAGGAAGACGGACACCCAAGAGCGCATCTGACGCCCACATGGCTGGTAGTGAACAGGAGTGATGCTGGGTTGTGCTAGTTAGGTCTGAGACATGCGTGGACTCAGCAGTGGGCATCGTGTGGTGATTCGGCTGTCACCTCTGTGTGACCCGGAGAACCACGGCGCTCCCCGGATCGCTTGGTTTCATGGGTTTTGATCATGTCTGAGTGGATCTCCAGGCACGTGAATGCCAAGGATCAGAGAAGCACGTTCCATGACCGTTCTGTGGGAAAGGGCTCCCAGAAATGTGGTTTGGGGTCTTCCCCACCCCTCGGCCTCCTCTCAGGAGCTGACCCCTCTTCTGTCCTGCAGGGACGGCGCTCCGTATTGCGAGAAGGACTACCAGGGGCTCTTTGGGGTGAGATGTGAAGCCTGTCACCAGTTTATCACAGGGAAGGTGCTGGAGGTAAGTGACAGACGGGCTCCCCTCAAAGCCAGTCATTTCCTCAGAGGCCCTCATAAACACACAGCCTCGTCTTCCATTTATTTCCTCACAGAGAGAGAAAAGAAAGTCGTTGCAGATGACTGATCTCTTAGAGAATGAATGTGTTGTACTGTCTTCACAGGCAGTTTCTACTAAATGTTCATGCGGAAATTGGCATGATGGAGAATTTGAAGGAAAAAAATGATACAGGCTCTATTAGGAATTATGTAGAAGGGAGGGTTATATTAGACTGTTCTCATTTTTAGAAGTTAGAAAAAGAGGAAATGAAGAGCATGTTAGAGCCACAGGTATATGTGTGTACGTGTGTCTATGCACACGTGTATGTGTGCCTGCACGTGGATGTGTCCATGTACGTATGTGTCCATGTACACTTGTGTGTGGGAGTGTACGTGTGTGCACGCGTGCGGGTACACATGGGAGTGTACGTGTAGGTGTGTGTGCTCTTGCGTCACGTGAGTACCTGTGGGAGTGTACAGACTCAGGGAGCAGAGGCTCAGAATTGAAGCTGAGAAAAGAAACGGTGTGTTGGGGCCGGCCCGGTGGCGCAGCGGTTAAGTTCGCACGTTCCGCTTCTCGGTGGCCCAGGGTTCGCTGGTTCGGATCCCGGGTGCGGACATGGCACTGCTTGGCAGCCATGCTGTGGTAGGCGTCCCACGTATAAACTAGAGGAAGATGGGCACGGATGTTAGCTCAGAGTCAGGCTTCCTCAGCAAAAAGAGGAGGACTGGCAGTAGTTAGCTGAGGGCTAATCTTCCTCAAAAAAAAAAAACAAAACAAAAAAAAACAAAGAAAAGAAACGGTGTGTGAAAAGTGAAGGCATAGACTTCCCCACCCTTAGAAAACCACATCCTGCATGACCCAGAACCCTCTGGGGGCGAGGCTGAGCCTGTCAAGTTAAGGTGTGACTACCTTGCACTGGAGAGCTTGGTTCCTGCTTTCTCAGCAGTGGCCCCACCAGCTTCTGCCTCTGGGCTGAGCCAGGCTCCTCCTGGGCTTGAGGCCATCGTGGAATTACGGGGCCAGAGTTCACAGCGACTGCCCCACTTCTTACAGCCTGTGGGGAGTTAACCAGTTCCGATGGAAAGAGTAAAGGTTGCCTCATACCTGTCCCACAGTTCAGGGTGGAGAATGTTTACCGAGCAGAGGTGAGTCAGGACGCCCAGCAGCTGGCAAGGCGACGGACTGGTCCTGCAGCTTGTCACATCCCTTCGGCAGACACAAGGACACTGAGTCCACATGACCACCTTCAAACTTCCCAGCAGGGTGTGTTTCAGTGACACCTGACGTAAATCTGAGAGGCCCCAAGGTGTCTCTGGGTGGCCTCCGTGGGATTTCACAGCAAGGTCCAGCGTGGCCTTATCCCACAGCAAGCTCTGCGATGCCACAGAGAGGTCACTGTTGGCTCTGCTGGGACCTAGTGCAGCTAGTTGGACTTGAGGGATAAGGAAATGAGTGTTGTCAATGCAGTTGCCTCTTACCCAGGGGAAGGGTGTTCCAGAGAGAGGGAGCAGCATCTGCAGAGGCTCAGAGGCAAGGAAAAGCACAGCACACGCAAGAAACAAAAAGTCAGTCGGGCAGGATTGCAGGTGGGAGAGATGATGCTGGAGCAGTGGGGAGGGGCCAGAGCGTGAGGACCTCAAAGGTCACATTTAGGAGCTTGGGCATTATCCTAAGAGTGGTAGGAAGTGATTGTAGCTGGAGTATCATGTGATTGGGTCAGATTGTTGGGAAGAGAATGAATGGGAGTACTCAAATATGTGTCCATCCATGTTCACAGCAGCTCCATTCACAACAGCCAGAAGGTGGAAACAACCCAAGTGTGCATGCATGCATGGATGGATGGATGGAAAAATAAAATACAGTATATACGGATAACGGAATATTATTCAGCCTTAAAAAGGAAGGGATTCTGGCACAGGCTACAGCATGGATGAACCTTGAAAACATTATGCTAGATGGAAGAAGCCAGTCACAAAAGGCCACAAACTGTATGATTCCATTTCAATGAAATATCTAGAATAGGTAAATCCTTATAAACAGAAAGCAGATTGGCAGTTGCCTGGAGTTGTTGGGCAGGGAAAATGGGGAGTAACTGCTTACTGGTCTCAAGTAGGGTGATAAAAATGTTTTGGAACTACTTAGAGGTAGTGGATGCACAATGTTGTGAATGTCCTAAATGCCATGGAACTGTTCACTTTAAAACAGTTAATTTGGGGCTGGCCTGGTGGTGCAGCGATTAAGTGAGCACATTCTGCTCCTCAGCGGCCCGGGGTTCGCTAGTTCGGATCCCAGGTGCGGACATGGCACCACTCGTCAAGCCATGCTGTGGTAGGCGTCCCATGTATAAAGTAGAGGAAGATGGGCACGGATGTTAGCTCAGGGCCAGTCTTCCTCAGCAAAAAGAAGAGAATTGGCAGCAGTTGGCTCAGGGCTAATCTTCCTTAAAAAATAAAATGGTGAATTTTATGTTATGTGAATTTCACCTCAAATTTTTAAATGAATGGAAAAGGGGTGAGTTTGGAGACAAGGAGGCCAGTTAGGAGACGACTGCAGAACTCTGGACACAAAATAGCGGTGGCACTGGCTGGAGGGAAACCTGAGAATTCGACCCCCTGCATCCTCCCACACACACACACAGTATGGGTGTGAGGAGGAGTTTTCATGGTCTTTCCAATAAAGCTCTAATGGTCAGCCCAAGTATCTGTCAAGACTGCGGTTTGGGCCCCAGGTGAAGCACATTCCCGGGAAAGCTATTGGAGAAGACGGATGTGACCCATCCAAAAGGCAGCGTGAAGTCCAGTGGTCACATCCCAAGACTCAAAGTACAGTGGAGGGTGCTCCCCCGCCTGTCCCCTGCATGTGTCCTTCATCCCTCCCTAGAGCCCCACAGTGCTGCTCTCAAAAGGAGCTGAGGGGTCCCGACAGCATTTCCTGTGGGGTTCCCAAGTTCCGTCTGCTGCATGAGACTGAAATAAACCTGTTGAGTTGGGAGCAATTGGGAAATTTCATTTTAAAACAACGATAATAAAACACCAGAACCATTTCCCAGGTGTTCAGCTATAGGAAGAGAGGCAGGAAGAGACAGAACACAGCCCCTGGATTTGAGGCAGCCACGTTCTCAGAAGGTGTGGATCAAAACAGCTGCCTCCTCAGTCCACATCTGGAACTAATACAAAAGAGTTGGCAAGGCAAAAGGGCTGGGGGCCGGGGGCAGTGTTGATTCCCTTCAGATTTAGTTCAACAGCTGTGGGAAGGAACGTCTACAATAAAACTAGATCCACGAATGTGCCATTTTGAAGAAACATCTGCTTACTCTGGCTTCTCCCTGAAGGCCTGAGTATTTCAGTGTTTTCTGCGGCTGCAAGGGACCCTCACCAGATTGCCTTCAGGTCTCAGCGAGGGCTGCTTGGAAGGCGGAAGGCTTGGACGCGGTCCACACTATGCCTTCAGAGTTGGGCCTTCTGGGAGCAGTTTGCAGTAGGGTTGTTGGTAGATTCAAGATCCACCCAGCAGGCATGCCGTCCTCCTCGGATGGGTGTGTGATCTAGAAAAATGTCCTGCACAGTTAGCACTCTGACATGTGACAGCTCATGAGTCAGTTTGGCTTGATTACCCATATAAAACAGGACTGGTCTCCACACTCTGCCTTCCTCCCTCTGCCTTTCATTCTCTGACTCCGTCACTGGTGAAACGTTGTGGATTTGTTGTAAGTACTGTAATCCTTGCTTTTTGGTGTTTTTTTCCCCAATTTTTAAAATTGTGGTAAAATCCGTGTAACATAAACTTTACCATCTTAACCATTTTTAAGCAAACAGTTCAGTGTATTTGAATACATTCGTAATGTTGTGAAACCATCAGCACCATCCGTCTCCATAAGTCTTTATATCCTGTAGAACTGAAACCCTGTACTCATTGAACAGTAACTCCCCATTTCTCTCTCCCCACAGCCCCTGGCAATGACCATTCTACTTTCTGTCTCTATGACTTTGACTTCTCTAAGTATCTCATATAAGTGGAATCATAAAGTATTTAGGGTTTTCTGTGACTGGCTTATTTCTCTTACTATAAAGTCCTCAAGATTCATCCATGTTATAGCATGGACCAGCATTTCCTTCCTTTTTAAGGCTGAATAATATTCCATTGTATGGATATACCACATTGTACTTCTCCATTCTGTGATCTTTGATTTTTTCTAGTTGTTTTTTCTGATTGATTTCATCCGTAGAGATGGTAAATTTGTTCGTTTCCTGTATCTGCTGTAACAGTGGTGGCATAAAACAGCAGAAACCTATTCTCTCACAGTTCTGGAAGCCGGAAGTCCAAAATCAAGATGTTGGCAGGGCCGTGCTCCCTCCAAAAGGCTCTAGGGGAAAACCCTTCCTTGCCTCTCCCAGCTTCTGGTGGCTGCAGCTGCGTAGCCCTGATCTCTGCCTCCACCTTCACACGGCCTTCCTCTCTGCGTCTTCTCTCTCTGTCAAACCTTCCTCTGCCTTTTTCTTAGAAGGACACTTGTCATTGGATTTAGGGCCTACCCAGATCATCCAGGATGATCTCCTCATCTCAAGATTCTTCGCTTAATTACATCTGCAAAGACTCTCTTTCCAGACATTCACAGCTTCCAAAGATTTGACGTGGACATCTCTTTTGGGGAGCCACCATTCAACCCCCTCCAGTAAACCTGGGAACTTAACGTCATCCCAATGAGGGCTGGAGCTCCGGTGTGGTTTTAATTGAACCCTCCGTAAGCATTGGGGGGGGCCGTAAGGCCACTTCTGTGAGTGTGGTTTCACCTGAGATGCCATCGAATGCCTGAGGGAACTTTGAGGAGAAAGGTCACTGGGCAATGATCAAGAAGCTCCAGGCTCAGCTACGTCATGAATTCCCGAGTCATTTTTGACAGGTCCTTCAGCCTCTCTGAGACTATCTTCATTTCACAGGTAAAGGGAGAGGCTTGTAACCTC